ATAGGCATTTAGATTCGGCGAAATATTCTCATACGCGTTTAGAAACCTCCCTGCGCACCGCGTTCTATCGCTTTTCCGTTCGACAATTAAGGCATATTCATACGTATTCAAATGTTCGGCAAACTCGTATTTGATTTTTGTCCCTTTTTTTTGGCTAGACCGGAGACGGTTTGGTACGAAGACCGTGAAGGGACATTGGAGTTTTTTTTTTTTTTCATTTTCATAATACTATTACGTATGTGTTATTGTCACGTACGTACGTAACTCACGCACGTACTTGAATATTATCACGTACGTAGGTAATATTATCACGTAGGGCCCACGTGATAATTATTACGTACGTAGGGCCCACGTGATAATTATTAAGTACGTATACACAACGTATACTCGTTTAAGGATACACGTATTATCACCTACATATGCAATACATGTGTACGTAATATGTACTTATTTATCAGGTATGTACGCAATAATAATACTAATATTGCGCTAGTACGTAATATTATATTATCACACGCACGTTTATGATAAATTAAATGTATCACGTACGTACGTTGTGATTGTCATATGTAAAGTAGTAGGCCCTAAATAAGAACAATATGTTCATCTCCTCTTGGTCTTCGTACCTTCGTACCCGCGTACCCGCGTACCCGCGTACCCGCAAATCCGCATATCCGCATATCCGCATATCCGCGTACCTGCGTAATCGCGCAATTTCGTGTACCATACTTCGAAAATCTAAGTTAGCAAAGTGCAATGAACAGTGTTAGGGAAAATGAAGCAAAAGAAAATTAGGGAGCAAGCATAGCCCGCTGCGAGCATGCGCACATTGAGCCTGCAGGCAGTGCGATGGGGAGTTTTATAAAAAATAAATTTTTAAGTATAAAGATAACACTAACTTAATGCAAACGAAAATCTGTCTAATGAATAACACTGTCCCCCTAAACTTGAAAGTACTGGTGTATTTTATTTCATTTTCGCTATTATAAGAAACTTCACTCGCAAATTTAAAGTCCATTTTGTGATGTTCTATCGATCAACTGGAATGCTGCCCTCTATACGGACATGGGCTGGTACTTTGCTCAACTCAAAACAATAATTAAACAAAGTTAGTAAAACAACTACAGAAAGTGGCAATGCCTGGTGCGTTGTCCACCAACGACGATATAATTTCTTTATGACTGTCTAAAATGTTTAAGAGCAAACAACATTCATAAATTCACCATGCCTGGTGCAGTGTCACTTGTAAGGGATACCCTCTTCGGTGCACATTAGTAGCGCCGATTTCCAAGAGGCCCCTTCCTTCAGAAGAACTTGAACATTAAAACTTAAACCATTTAACAAAAACACGGAAGGACATTACTACTTAAATAGCCATACAGAGAAAACTGTTGGTTAATAATTAACGCTAATTCCTAAATGAGCTCTCTGTTAAGGTGACATACACGCTCTTATAGTAACACTAAAAGGTCAAAAAATCTGGGATTAACAGCGTCTGTAAAAGCGCCGCATTGTCTATACTTCCCTAGTCCGTGAGCAGTGAGGGCACAGTTGACAGTTGACCATATTTTAATGATCGTAGTAAAATCAAAAGTCATAACTTTGGTTAATTATACTTTGCATAAATTTATATAAAATACATTTTTATTCTGAAGAGCTTTTAAGCTCGGTTCATTATTAAGTATTTAAAGATAAACTTTTCTGTGAGTTAAAAAAATGCTTACAGAGAGAATGACTTTTGGGAGAAAAAAACTCAAAAGTAGATTGTATTTTGTTTCATTGTAAATGTTGCATGTTTGATTTTTTGCCTTAGTGTGCATTGCTCTCTGTGTGGTGTGATTATTTTTAATGGTATCCGTCTGTTGTCTCTGACAATAGACAAAATTAAATGTTTTTAATTTTTTACCATTTACTGCAATACCTACCCGGATATTTACTTGACTACGCGTATGACGAAAACTGAAAACAAAATTCAAATCGGTCCAAAATAAATTGTAGCGAAAACCACATCGTAAGCGATTTTTTTTCCGAAAAAAAAAACCACTCCGCTTTCTACGTGTAGGCCTACACGCTAAGAAAATGATGAAAATAACGCGAGGAAAACATCACAGCGTTAGTGAGAGTAAAAATACCCGAAATCAGTATTATTTTTCTTGCCACAAAGTAAACAAAATGTGTTATGGAAATTACAAATAAAAATTACGAAAATAACAAAGTAAACAAAATGTGTTATGGAAATTACAAATAAAAATTACGAAAATAACGGCATAGAAATTAATCATCTTCAACGAGAGAAGTAAATACATGTACATGTACATGTAAATTGGTGCTAATTTCTAAACTTCGATGCCTTTCAAAATTTGGCCACAGAAAAAATACCGGTTCTACATTGCCTCAAAAAGTCGGAAAGCGAATTTTGGCAAACGGTGGGAAAATGACGGCAGCAAAAGAAAATGAAATTGACGAAATTACGAGAAAAACAATCACACCATCATGAACAAAATATCTGTTTAAGAAAATGACTGAATTTCAGTTATATACAGCGGCATTTCAAAAATATCAAAATTGTTGGCATTGTCGAGAAGTGCCTTCAAAAAGACCTAATTGCGCCCCCCCCCCTCAAAAAAGTACATTGTGAAAGGTACAACTTATTGGCAACCTGCCATTATCGGCGTCGGCACATGTTCGTGTGCATTATGACAAAAAAGATCATGTCTATTTTTAAAAGTAAATAGTGGAAACATGGGTAGAATCGTTTAGTTTTTATTTGGTAACAGTGGCCTTATTACAGGTAGGCTTAGACATAATGCTTTGGAATGTTTCCCTTCAGTAACAAATGGGCTAGGCCCAGTGTTTTCGTAACCCTGTTCACTTAAGAAAGAGTTGCAGCTTTCATCAAAGAAACTGATGATCTAAAAGTTGAGACTGCATGGATGAGCTAGGCTGCTTTGTCTGGACGAAAATGAACCCTCCAAGGCTCCTACAGCCTCATCACACAGAAACTCGAGGAACCGGAAGCAGGGAGGAGGACCGACAGATGAACGGATGACCTGCTTGTTGGGCTTCCCATTCCTGATTACTAGGTTAGTTTACACATGTAGGCCCCCCTCTTAACAGGAACAATCAAGTCACAGAACTAATTTAAATGGGCGATCTGACTCTGTTATTATGTTCGTCCACAAACGAGTTCTGGTAGCAGGGCTTTGCTTTGTGGGGTTAATTCAATGTTTTCTTTCCCCTTTCGAGCCATGGCACGAATACAGCTCAATAATTCAAATGTTTCCTTTCGTTATTTGAATCCTTTCAGCAAAGTGAGGACCACTGACTGATGACGGAATTGCTTTACTGAGATTGATGAGCCTGCCTCAAGACATCGTCAGGGCTCCATCAGCCTTATCACAAAGAAACTCGAGGAACCGGAAGCAGGGAGGAGGACCGACAGATGAGCGGATGACCTGCTTGCTGGGCTTCCCATTACTGACTATCCGGTTTGTGTACATGTAGCCTTCTTAAACAGAAACAATTAAGAACTAATCAAAATGGGCGATCTGGCGCTCTTCTATGTTCGTCCACAAACAACGAGTTCTGGTAGCGGGGCTTTGCTTTGTGGGGTTAATTCAATGTTTTCTTTCCCCTTTCTAGCCCTGGCACGAATACAGCTCAATAATTCAAAGTTTTCTTTCATATCCTTTCAGAAAAATGACGACCACTGACTGATGACGGAATTGCTTTACTGAGATTGATGAGCCTGCCTCAAGACATCGTCAGGGCTCCGACAGCCTCATCACACAGAAACATGAGGAACCGGAAGCAGGGAGGAGGACCGACAGATGAACGGATGACCTGCTTGTTGGGCTTCCCATTCCTGATTACTAGGTTAGTTTACACATGTAGGCCCCCCTCTTAACAGGAACAATCAAGTCACAGAACTAATTTAAATGGGCGATCTGACTCTGTTATTATGTTCGTCCACAAACGAGTTCTGGTAGCAGGGCTTTGCTTTGTGGGGTTAATTCAATGTTTTCTTTCCCCTTTCGAGCCATGGCACGAATACAGCTCAATAATTCAAATGTTTCCTTTCGTTATTTGAATCCTTTCAGCAAAGTGAGGACCACTGACTGATGAGGGAATTTTTTTACTGAGATTGATGAGCCTGCCTCAAGACATCGTCAGGGCTCCATCAGCCTTATCACAAAGAAACTCGAGGAACCGGAAGCAGGGAGGAGGACCGACAGATGAGCGGATGACCTGCTTGCTGGGCTTCCCATTACTGACTATCCGGTTTGTGTACATGTAGCCTTCTTAAACAGAAACAATTAAGAACTAATCAAAATGGGCGATCTGGCGCTCTTCTATGTTCGTCCACAAACAACGAGTTCTGGTAGCGGGGCTTTGCTTTGTGGGGTTAATTCAATGTTTTCTTTCCCCTTTCTAGCCCTGGCACGAATACAGCTCAATAATTCAAAGTTTTCTTTCATATCCTTTCAGAAAACTGAGGACCACTGACTGATGACGGAATTGCTTTACTGAGATTGATGAGCCTGCCTAAAGACATCGTCAGGGCTCCGACAGCCTCATCAAACAGAAACATGAGGAACCGGAAGCAGGGAGGAGGACCGACAGATGAACGGATGACCTGCTTGTTGGGCTTCCCATTCCTGATTATTAGGTTAGTTTACATGTAGGCCCCCTCTTAACAGGAACAATCACAGAACTAATTTAAATGGGCGATCTGACTCTGTTATTATGTTCGTCCACAAACGAGTTCTGGTAGCAGGGCTTTGCTTTGTGGGGTTAATTCAATGTTTTCTTTCCCCTTTCGAGCCGTGGCACGAATACAGCTCAATAATTCAAATGTTTCCTTTCGTTATTTGAATCCTTTCAGCAAAGTGAGGACCACTGACTGATGAGGGAATTGCTCTACTGAGATGAGGATGAGCCTGCCTCAAGACATCGTCAGGGCTCCGACAGCCTCATCAAACAGAAACTCGAGGAACCGGAAGCAGGGAGGAGGACCGACGGATGACCTGCTTGCTGGGCTTCCCATTACTAATTCTTGAGGTTAGTTTTTAGTTACATGTACCTAAAGAATAAGCAGAAACACGTAATCAAAATGGGTGATCTGGCGCTCTTCTATGTTCTCCCACAAATAAAGAGTGCTGGTTGTGGGGCACTGCTTTGTGGGGTTAATTCGAACATTTCCCCCCCCCCCCCCCCCTCTTGCTCTACCTTTCAGATATTTCTTAATAATAATTCGGATATTTTCTTTCATTTGAATCTTTTTACAGACATGAGGACCACTGACTGGTGAGGGAATTGCCCTATGATGGATGGGCCTGCCTCAAGCTGCCATAAGCTGGGAGGACCGACGGTTGACTGACACTGCCTGCTTGGTTGGCCATTACCGATTCTTGAGGTATGTTTACTTGAAAAGAGACCAGGGATATGTAGGCCTACACTTAAATTTGTTATTCCTTTAATACTATGTCACCTCTTACGGTGCTTGATTTCCTCTTTAAATATCAATTCTCAATTTTGTGAGTTTACTCTTTTTGTCATGTTTTAGAAGAGGAGGACCGCCAAGCTTGGATGAGACTGGAAAATTACGAAGCTGCTCTATCTGGACAAGGATGCCCTCATCTAGACACTTTCCAATTTGCGGAATATTTGATCAAAAATCAGACTGCATATTATTTTGCAATATTATAAAACATAAAAACGACGAAAATACGAATTCTTACGCCAAAGTTACCGTTATAATTGGAAGAAATAAAAGCTTAAATCACTGTTACTTGTTAACTTTACTGAGATACCTATACCTGTAATATTTGACAACGAATATGACGAAAATTGAAGAAAAAAGTCAAATGTGTGTTAAATACATTGCAGTGAAAATCAAATCATTAGCGGATCTTCTTCTCACAGAAATGTTTCTCCGCTTTCAACAAGTGGCTGAGAAAATGATGAAATTTACGCCGAAAATAACTGAAATCAGTGTTGTTTTTACCTTTACTGCGATACCTACAGGAAATATTTGACTAAACGCGTGTGACGAAACGTGGAAACAAAAATCAAATCGGTCCAAATTAAATTACAACGAAAATCACATAGTACTTGAAGTCCTTCTCGAAGCACGGCACTCTGTTTCTACAGGTAGCTACAGGAAAATTACGAAAATTACACCGAAAATCAATGCGAAGTGACGAAACATAGTTTACACGGCTAAAAAATCACAGCGTTAGTGAGAGAAATAATACTTGATATCAGTGTTATTTTTCTTACCTACAAAGTGAAAAAAAAATCGATTGCGGAAGAACCAAATTAAAGAGACGAACATTACGGTAAAAATGTTAACAGCGGCAGCGAAAGAAATAAATATTTGAAAATCGGTAATTTTCTAAACTTCTAGGCCCTATGCCATGCAAAAATTTGCATGAAAAATGACCGAAATAATGTTAACTAAAAAAATTTCAAATTATAATCGGCAGCCACTTCCGGTACGGTACTACACTGCTTAAAAAAGTCGGAAACCGAATTTTGGTAAACGGTGGGGGAAAATGACGGCAGATAAAAAGTTTTTTAAAATGACGGAAATTAAGGAAAAACTCCATTATATCGATGTAAAGAAAATGACTGAATTTCAATTAAAGCAGCATGTTAAAGGCATTCCCCCAAGTTCTAGGCCTACACCACATCGTTTAAGTATTATTCGTCAGCGAAAATAACTGCAATTTGTGACATTGTGAAGAAGTTTGCCTTCAAAAAGGCCAGAAATAAGTGTAATCAGCAAAGCGATAGGGAAAATGGCTGTATAAGACATGCCACATATTTACTATCGCATGCGACATTTCTTCGTGTTTTTGTAAAGGTTTAAACTTAATCTACATCATTTATGTGAGTCCGATTTGGAAAGATTGGCAGGGATACATGTTTTCATCAAGTATATATTTCTCCTTTGAGTTGCTCATTTGGTTGTCTTACTTTGACCTTTGATAACGTATAAGGTCGACAGTGCTGTTTTATTGAAGGGGAGAACACGAAAACCATAACGAAAAAAGCGTTGCAGTAGTTAAAGAGATCGGTCTAATATAGACTTTCACAATCAAATATTTGTGCTACGAGTATACCGTACTTAACGTAAATTTCAAAAGAAAGCATTTCAAGATATGCGACAGGTTTAGAGTTGCATAGAAAACTACTATTTTCCTTGTTGATTTTAGCCTACGTGTAACCCTCCCTTCGTATAGTACTATGTTCAATGTAAGTCCGATTTGGAAGGGATCGGCAAGGATTAAGATGGCATTTTGTAATCTTAATGTCACGTGAATTTCTTTTAATAAGGGAATAAATGTGTGCTCCGGAGGTTTTTATCACTCGTTTAATACCGCTTAGAGTCTGGGTGCTGATAATTAAGCACATATTTATTCCCATTCATAAATACCTTATCCGTACAAAAATATCAAATAATTCGTTCAAAAAATCCCGATTTTGTTCAACAAGTTCACTTCATGCTTTTTGAAACATCCCTCTAGCAAAATAATGGAGTGTTCAGCTGGCGAGTAAGATGTAAACAAGCCTTTTATGGAGATTGACGCGCGCGTAACATGTTCTGCGCGATGTCACGCAGAACGCACCTGGGGCGTTGCGTTTTGAATTTAGAACTATAAAATTCTGACTCGCTTGTAGTGTTGCGCATGCCTACGTGAGGATTGTGAACGTTCAACCAATGAAACGGTAAGAGATACTGGATTTTTAGGAGTCCACATTTTATTGTGACACTGGAAAAGTGTTTAAGACCAGCTAGCCATGTCTTTATCATCCGTTTAAGACCAGCCACGTGACGGGCTCTCGACCAATAGGAATAGCTAAACTGTCTGAGGTATTTATGAATGGCTGTTTATAGTGTGCGAGTCATGCAGTTTCCAAAGCAATCTGCCATTATCAGCGTCGGTACATCATATGACAAAGTAATCGTGTCTGTTTTAAAAAGGAAATAATGGAAACATGGGTAGAATCGTTTGGTTTCCATCGGGTCCTACCCATGACCTGGTTATAGGTAGGCTTAGACATAATTATTGGCTGCATTTGCAATGTTTCACTTCAGTAACAAATGGGCTAGGCCCAGTGTTTTCGTACCCCTGTCCACCCGTGGAAAGAGTTGCAGCTTTCATCAAAAAAACTGATGATCTAAAAGTTGAGACTGCATGGATGAGCTAGGCTGCTTTGTCTGGACGAAAATGAACCCTCCAAGGCTCCAACAGCCTCATCACACAGAAACTCGAGGAGCTCCGCTTTCTACTCCGCTTTCTACGTGTAGGCCTACACGCTAGGAAAATGATGAAAATAACGCGAGGAAAACATCACAGCGTTAGTGAGAGTAAAAATACCCGAAATCAGTATTATTTTTCTTGCCACAAAGTAATCAAAATGTGTTATGGAAATAACAAATCAAAATGACGAAAATAACGGCATAGAAATTAATCATCTGCAACGAGAGAAGTAAATGCATGTACATGTACTTGCAAATTGGTGCTAATTTCTAAACTTCGATGCCTTTCAAAATTTGGCCACAGAAAAAATACCGGTTCTACATTGCCTCAAAAAGTCGGAAAGCGAATTTTGGCAAACGGTGGGAAAATGACGGCAGCAAAAGAAAATGAAATTGACGAAATTACGAGAAAAACAATCACACCATAATGAACAAAATATCTGTTTAAGAAAATGACTGAATTTCAGTTATATACAGCGGCATTTCAAAAACATCAAAATTGTTGGCATTGTCGAGAAGTGCCTTCAAAAAGACCTAATTGCGCCCCCCCCCCCTCAAAAAAGTACATTGTGAAAGGTACAACTTATTGGCAACCTGCCATTATCGGCGTCGGCACATGTTCGTGTGCATTATGACAAAAATGATCATGTCTGTTTTTAAAAGTAAATAGTGGAAACATGGGTAGAATCGTTTCTATTTGGTAACAAGTGGCCTTATTACAGGTAGGCTTAGACATAATGCTTTGGAATGTTTCCCTTCAGTAACAAATGGGCTAGGCCCAGTGTTTTTGTAACCATGTTCACTTAGGAAAGAGTTGCAGCTTTCATCAAAGAAACTGATGATCTAAAAGTTGGGACTGCATGGATGAGCTAGGCTTTAAAAACTGAAGAAATGTAACAAACTTTATTTAAATTTAACGTCTTTAACAAGACGTCGGTTTAACTAAAACGTGACTTTCTTTCCATTGTATATTTATTAGAAAATACAAGAACGTTTAATGTTAAGGAAAATTTAAAGAATAAACCGTTTAGGAACTTCTATCCATCAAAATGCATTGCAACAGGAATGAATGACACTCAAATTACATTTGTGTTTGTCCTTTTGTGATATATTTCATTGCACTTTTTTTACTTGTTATATTTTTACTTCGTATGCACGATTGTTTTTCTTGGTGGTTTTGCATGTCTTTTCATTTTCTTATTAATAATTCACTAACCTCACAAAAGGACAAACGCAATATATATCGAGTGTTGAACTTACCTTGCATCAAATATTTTTTTGACGTAATAGCTAAATTAGACAAAATATAGTCCTGGAATGTTTAAAAATAATCTAGGAATTTCTTTGGGGGGGGGGGCATTCCCAAGTTTTATCTTCCCTTTTAAAATCTTATTCACAAAATGGCGAAATACAAAAACCTGGCTTTACCGTGTACAGTCATGTAGTCGTTGCTTATGTAATAATCATCTATGATATAAAGTGATTATTAATTTCTCAAATGTATTGGCCTTCTGTCCAACTTTTTCCCTCATTTGGAATCTTTTGTATTTGTTTGTATGAATTGGTTAAATATTTGTATGTCAATAAGACTAAGGAATTAAACAAAATAAATAAAACTTGCAAGATGTGAGACACTTGATATCCTTGGAAGGTTGTCAGTATTTTGCCTATTTTTTTTTTGCCTATTTGTTACAAAAGTAACAAATCCCAGCTGAAATGACGTTTTGTTATTCATGGGTGATTGGGGGCGGGGTGCACACATAAAGGCACGTTAGGGAATATAAAATAATTAGTTGTTTTATAAGGGAAATCTTTACTCTGAAACGGAAATAAAAAAGAATCTCCTAGGCTCCTAGGTTCTACCTTTTAAAATTGTCCATTTTTTCCCCAAGAGTGTGTCTCTGTAAGGTTCTTAATATTCTAGGGTGGTGAGTCGGCCAGGGGGTGAGTCGGCCAGGGGGCGAGTCGGCCAGGGGGCGAGTCGGCCAGGGGGCGAGTCGGCCAGGGGGCGAGTCGGCCAGGGGGCGAGTCGGCCAGGGGGCGAGTCGGCCAGGGGGCGAGTCGGCCAGGGGGCGAGTCGGCCAGGGGGCGAGTCGGCCAGGGGGCGAGTCGGCCAGGGGGCGAGTCGGCCAGGGGGCGAGTCGGCCAGGGGGCGAGTCGGCCAGGGGGCGAGTCGGCCAGGGGGCGAGTCGGCCAGGGGGCGAGTCGGCCAGGGGGCGAGTCGGCCAGGGGGCGAGTCGGCCAGGGGGCGAGTCGGCCAGGGGGCGAGTCGGTAAGGGGCGAGTCGGCCAGGGGGCGAGTTGACCTGACACCATGTCTATTGGCGCGGCGCCGGCGAACCTCAAGGTTTGCTGATGGAACCTCCACAGATCAGCTGATCGAGACCAGGAGTGCAGGTAATTTTAATTTTTGTTAAATATGGCCAAACTATACATCAAATTAAAGCTCTCGATGGGAGAAATTCAATGGTACAAACAACATTGTCATAGGTGCTTCCGTTCAGAAGTTATGTCCTCCCAAAGACACCATACTCCT